CAGTGCTCATCGCTAATGTGGTTTCTTCTGTCTAACAGTTCAACTAAAACCTTTACCGGTGATCCACGTGGCAAAGAGGGGTCATTTATGACCACAGCTCTTTATTTCTGTGTACCGTCGTGTAAAAATATTTTCTATCTTGAATCTGTCCTGGAAATATAAAGACGAAACTGTCTTTAAGGCTGCACCACGTTTTGGACTCAACTTGAAAGAAAGGCAGATGTGAAGGGTAAAAGTGAGGTCAGAGGTCAAATGTGACATGATATTTGGATCGAAACTATATTGTGATATTTAAAATCCGCATATACCAGTGCAACTTCCTAACTGTCGTCAAAGGCAGCAGCATTTTAAGCACAGTTTTAAAGATTAAAAACGTTTTATGAAGGTTTGGCTGTATTTGACCTTAAAGAACTTAGAGCCTTTTATTGTCATCGAGCGGTTTCTTGCACAGCGAAATTGGGTAGCTGGACCACAAAGGTGCAAAAGTAAAGAAAAGAAAACAATATACAAGGAGGGAAAAAATAAAAAATAAAAAGCAATATATATGTATACATATATATGTGAGTAACTGCTGACATCTCCTGGACAGAGAACATCTCAGCGGTCGTCAAGAAGGCCCAACAGTGGCTGCACTTCCTGAGAGTCCTCAGGAAGTATAAGCTGAACTCCAACCTGCTGCTGACCTTCTATTGCTCGTCCATTGAGAGCCTGCTAACCTACTGCATCACGGTATGGTACGGCAGCTGCACCAAGGCGGATAGAGTGAGGCTTCAGAGTGTGGTCAAGACAGCACAAAAGATCATCGGCTGCCCTCTCCCCTCCCTGATGGACAGTTTCTTCCCCAAAGCCATAACCACCCTGAACTCACACATGCACCGATAACACAGCCCCCCCTTCTTCTTTTCCCTTTCTTCCTACTTCCTCTATGGACCACCACTGTGCAATACCAATTCTATGTGCAATAACCCAACTGAATATACACAACATTATTTATTACATATTACTTTTTTTTTAAAAACCGGCTTGTATATTTGTACATATATATATCTTTTCCCTCTGTTAATACTATCCATGTACTATGTATATAGCGCTGCAGAACTGTGCCCCCCCCCAGCATATTTGCACTGAGTAGGAGATGCTCTGTATCTCATTGTACAACTGTATAGTGACAATAAAGGCATTCTATTCTATACTATATACATGGTGTATGCGTACAAACATTGAAACAGAGACATTGTGGGGTGGTATACAAGGGCAGTTATACAATATAATAAAAAAATAAATAAGGGTAGGGCTATGGTCATTTAGGGTGGGGATGGTAATTTCACTGAGACCAAAATATTGCACAGAACATGGAAAGACTGAGAAGGTGAGAAAGAAGGTCCAAAATAAGGTGATATTCAGGAACCCCATTTATCATTCCCTATATGCCGACACGATGAAAATACAATGACAGTAAGAAACATAGTTTTATATAGCTCTATTATTATCCCTTTGACCTTTAGATCAATCAACTGACCTTGAAGGAAAGGTCGGAGGTCAAATGTGATATGATATTTTAAACCTTTATATGGTATTTTCTATATGTTGACAATACACACCACACTTGTAAGAATCATATTTTCTTAGTTAAAATGCTTTTTGTCTATTTTCAAATAGCATGTAAGGCAAATGTTACTGGATTGTTAACATGACTCCACGCTACACCCCCTCAAAGTTTTATCAGAATTCATTCAGGACTTTTTGAGCTGTCGTGTTTATAAACAAAATGAAAAGCCAGAAGAAATTTCAATTTAGAAAAAAGTTTATGTGTTTATAATTTATAGCACTGAGGATTTTTCAGCCAGTTTGTGCAAAAATCACATTAAAAACTATTTTCAAACTGATGTTACTGGCTTCAGTCAGCAACAGAAAAAATACTTGTGATCTCTTTAAGTTGAGATTTTTGTAACGTCTCTGTCAGGTGTGTTAGTCTCACCGAGCAGCGGGCCCAGCCAGTAGACCACGCAGTACTCGAGGAAGGAGTGTCCACTGCAGGGGAACTGTGTGGAGAAGGCCAGCGCTGGGTTAAAGACAGCTCCGGTCACGCTGCCACCTGGACACACATGCACAGTTTTATTAGTGAACTCACATTTGTTCATCATTTAAATCTCCTATACAGCACAAAGCATTCCTGAATCTGCCTTAGAAAGTTAAAGTCTGTGAAGGTTCTCAGTCATCCAGGTTATATTTGGATAGAAAAGCATCAGGACTCCAGATGCTTTTCTTCTCCATAAAGGTATAAAAAGAGAGCAGAAAATTATAATATTCCAGCAGATGTGTGACTTTAAAGCTTACTGGCTGAAAAAAGGTCATTGATCAAACAGATTCTTGCTTAGATTTTAATCAGATTCTCTGGAGGAACATTTGAAAACATTTCCTCCTAAATTCTCAGTATTCACTTATCAGCATTCAGTCAAACGTTCATTTACGGGTGTAGTTAAAAAACTGCTAATAACTGACTTTACACGGGAATTGGTTGGTCAGACACAGTAAGAGATGTAATCTGTTACTCTTCATGTGAGAAAGAAGGTGTCTCTGAGATGTACTAATAGTGTGTTAGTTCCAAATAGTAAATTAGTGAATGTATTTCATGGCAGTTTGATTATTCTGGGACAAACAGTGCAGTCTTCCTCAAAGCATCACTGTGAATATAATCATATAATGTTAAAAATATAATAACAGTCTTTTTATTATTGGTCAATGAAATAAATAAAATCCTCTTTATTATCAGAGTGAAAACAGACTTCCACAAATGAATGTCAACTGATGACTCCATAAATATTCACCTCTTTAAAGATGACTAACCTTATTCAACAGCCAAATGACTTATAAAATCCTAAAATCACATATTTCTGGAAGGTCCACTCACTGGTTATTCAGCATGCCAGGCTACAGGTACACCATGCAGACAAAAGAGCACTCGGAGCAAGTTAAAGGAAATTAAAAAGTAGCAGTCTGGGAATGGAGACAGAGGAGTTCACTTAAATCTGTCATTATGAAACGGAAGCAATCAAATCTGCCTAAATCTGACACTCAAAGGTAAACTGGATACCTGGCTGACCATCACGTTCATGACCAGTTGAGGACGGATCAAAGATAAGGAGTCGATTTTAAGCGTTGAGTTTGGTTTGATCATAATTGTCCCAGTCTGCTTGTTCTATATAAACACACAGTGAACACGTGTCCCTCTACACACACTCAGAGTAAAGGTTCTAAGGTCACGCTGCCACCTGATTGGCTCCCATTCTTAACACTTTAGCACTGAGGCTTTTCCGAGCCCCCAGTGTTTGTGAAGAGAGACCGTTATGATGGCTCTCCCGCAGGGTAACGTGTCACTGCCTTTTGATGCCTGCACTACCCTGAGGTGGGACACGTTGCCACATAACTATAAGCTGCACACTTTTGTGTGTAATATGATGAAAACTACCACAAACAAAGCGGCTCCGTCCCTCACACCGCTAATGCGTGTTTATGAGAGCAGGAGGTCTGAGCCACTGTTCAGCCACATTTAGGTGATTTTTATGTATTCGTGGCTGAAGTGTCTGATTGGTGCCCGGTTCGTGTCGGTTCGTGTCTCCCCCGGCACCATGTAAATACTCTGATGTGGTCGTGATTTCCGATCACGTGATTAATTAGCGGTGGAGCCGGATTTGATTCCCTGCAGCAGTCATAGAGTTATCATACCTGCATAAACCGCTGTGGTGATGACCGCAGCCACGGCGTGCACGCGGTATTTCTCCTGCACCGATTGCGTGTGCGTGATAACAGTCTGAACCGCAAAGGCGCACGCGAGCTCAACCGCAGCGGCCTCGTGCAGGGGCGCGTGGATGGGGCTGGTGCATCGGAACCCGAACAGCTTGTGTCGCGCGTGCAGTCTCGACAGCCCGACCCCCCACAGCCTCGGCACCGCGGCGCGTGCAGCGGCGGCCGCCGCGAACTGGCACGCGATCCTCCGCAGGGCGCGGGAGCCCGACAACTTGGCGTGGTAAGCGCGCTCGAGCGCACCGGAGGGGTTCCCGATCGCCCCGCTGAAGGTGAGCCCGTGGACCACCGACGCCAAATACGTGAAGGTGAGCGCGAGACCAGGCTCGATGCCGCCCACCTCGGACAGCAGCTTGAGCTCGTGGGTGCAGCAGCACAGCTGGAAGGTGGACACGAGCTCCACCACGTACTCGGAGAGCCCGGTGTCTGCTAGGGCCCGAGCCAGCAACCTGCGGGTCACGTCGCTCAGCACGACGATCCCCGCGAGCACCGCCAAAGACACCGCCACGTCCGCAGACATTCTGCCGGCCGGTCCGTGCTCCCAGCCGGGGACGGTCCCTGTGCGTGGCCGCTGCGTGCACTGAGCTGCGGGCCTCCTTTCTCCCACTAGAGCGCCCTGATGATGGGGTGCGGAAGTCTTTGCTGTGCCGGGGTGCGGAAGTCTTTGCTGTGCCGGGGTGCTGCTTCTCTATACCGGAGGATGTGGAGTTCAAGCGGGAGCAAATGAGCTCCAGTCCCGGTGGCTCACATGGTGCGGAAGTGACTGAGCTCCGCAGTCCTCCTCCTGCTGGTTGTCTGCTCACAGTACGGACTAGTGATGTGTCGGTCGCGAACGAAATATCAAAGCAAAAAGCTGAAAATTTGAAATGTGAATAGTTGGTTTTTGTATT